CATCTCACCCACAGCCTTTAGGCCTTTTTATGCTAAAAAATAATCATCACGTTGAGAAAAAATGAACTTTTATCCATTTTGTTTCAATCTTGAAAACAAAGTTATCCACAGTCTGTTATGAGTGACTCTCAGTTACTACCACACCAGATTTCAGCTCATTATCTGTAAAACTGACTGAGTCGAAACCATGTTTGCATTTGTTAAATTGATGTAGCTGTGGCGGCCATCTTGAATTGGGTCAACTCAAAAAGTTAATGATTTACAAACATCCAGTGACTAATATCTGAGAATTTCATTATAATCTGTCCAATGGTTCATGAGATAWTTTGCTAACAGATGCCAATATGTTAAGCACAAATATTGCACGTAATAGAGCTTTGAGTACGAGTTAGGAATGACTTTGGGCTACTACCTCAACAAATTGTAGCTCATTATCTGTAAAACTGAGTTAGAACCATTTTTGTGTTTGCTAAGGTTGATTAGCTGTGGCGGCCATCTTGAAATGGGTCAACACCAGATGTTAATCTGCTGTAAACGAACATTTAATTAATTTTCTCTGGAAGTTTTATTTAAAAAAATCAACTTTATTCTGAAATATTTTGCTAATGCCTCAGAAAAAGAATCAAACATTCCTAAAATGAAACACTAAAAATGTAATTTTAAGAGTTAAAAAAAGCTTCAGGGCAGTTTTATTTTTATTTTTTATTATTTAAAACATTTATTTGATCCAAGTCTTTGGAATGTAATAGTCAGCGATGAACGTCTGAGACAACAAATAAACAAGTTCTGGTTCTGAAAGTACAAACAATACTTTTAGTCACATAAGGCCTCACTRCTTCCCATTCCCAATACTTTTTACTTCCTTAATTCCTTTTTTTTAATGTTTCTTTTTTTTTTCCGAGACAACAAAATTACAGAAACGGTACAGAAAATAAAACTTTTTTTCTCGTCATACAAATAAAATCCTATAACAATGGCACGTACATCAGTGACRGTACGAAATAAAAAATAAAAACACGAGGTGATAATAATTTTACCAAGTAAATAAAACCGTTACGCTCCAATATATAAGATTTTTCAAGAATGAAAAACATCTCTGTAAATTGTACATTTCAGAGTTGTAACCTGGTTTTTTTTCTTTAAAACCACGTTAAAACAAAAACAATAACACTTTTTCTTTCTCTTTTCATAAATCAACATCATAAACACATTTTTTAATTTAAATATAATCAGTGCAACATTTGTTTTCGGGACGAGTCGAGTGCTGCGGCATCCTTCGGTTCATGAGCAAAGCAACTCGTCTGTTTATTTCTGCGGCYGAGACGTGGAAAAGTGAACGTTTGTCAGAAAACTTTGATTGAAAATGTCGCTAAAACTCAAGTCGAAAGGAAGCAACAGCTTTACACTTTGGACTGTAAAAATAAACACGTTTAACAGTAAAAAAAAAAAAATAAAACGTAGTTGTAACGTCCTATTTACTCACATAAACCATTGATTGGTGGTGGTCATGGTCCTGCTAATCAGCTAACAAATTAGCATTAGCATAGTGCTAACAAATTAGCATTAGCATAGCATTAGTGGTTTTGCGTTAATAAAGCTACACTTTTAGTTAGCAAATTATGAGTTAGCAAAGCTAACTTTTTGGTTAGCAATTAAGCATAATCATTACTTAGGTTACATATGTATTCTTTGCCAGCATTAAAATTGATTAACTTCAATAATTATTCTTGCTCCCGATGCCGCTTCGTTTTCTTCTCTTCTCGGCCTTCACCTCGATTCTTCCTGTGGCCTCTTCCTGTCACGCTCCCTCCTCTGCTGGGGRTCAAGCGGGGGCTCTGCAGGTCTGATTCCAATTCTAGTGATGACTGGAGCGGTCGGGTCKCTTGACAGCACACCACTGTTCAGAACCAGTAGGTTCCACTAATCAGCTAATAATAGAACAAWTTTTTTGTTTAGCTGATTAGCTTTTTCACTAACTTTGAAGGAGACAAACGTGTTAAGCAGACAAAGTGACAGTCGTCTTAGAGGTTAGAATTAGCTGTTTAGTGTTAGCTTCTGTAAATTTCTTTTCATGATTAGCAGTTCGCAATGCTAACTCTTTGGCTAGCTGTTGTAATATTTTGTCTTGATTTACTTCTGTGGAAACTTTGAGCAGTTAAAATCTTAACTGTTGGTTGTTTTCATACAGAAGCAGCAGCAGCAGCAGCTAGCTGTAGCATTTTTGTTAGTTTTTTTTAATTTTGGTTGTTTAAGGTGGTAAAAACAGTTAATTTAATGTAATTTGGCTCTAATATTTCACTAAAATTACCAAACAGAAAACATTAATTCATGTTTTTTTTTGTCCAAACTGTGTTCGTTCTCATTTTTCTATATGAAAACAGAAAAATGAAGCTTTGATTTTTTGAATAAATGATTGAGATCAGTGATTGTTTACCCTGTTTAGAAATAAATTCACTGAGTTTTCCTCCTTTTATCCAGCAGGTTAAAAGGTAACATGTTTCCTGAAAGGATGCTGCAGCACTGGTGTCATTTTTTTCTTTCCTTTATAGAAAAAGGCTCAAATATATTACAACCTACAGTATGTACAATACGTTGGATGTGTCACGTGCCGTCAAAACGAGGCATCCAGGGCTCCTGCACCGGTTCCTTCTGAGGGGAAATGTCATCGTTTACTTCAGTCCTGCAAAACAAATAACCCAGTCGGCAAAGCGTGAGGGTCCGCGGTAGTAAACAAAACAAAACAAATATAAAAACGCACGTTTGTGATCACAGTTTGAACGTTGTTCCTCCTCCGCGGTGTCACGCCACCCGATGGGAGAACAACCAGCAGAAACAAACAAGGCAACGGAAAAACAAGAAAAAAAAGGCACTGTCGGAGCAGGTCAGGGCCTGCAGCAAGTACACACAGACACACACGCACGCACAGACACACACACCTTAGATGTAGAGGTTCATGAGTGTGACTCTTTCATCCGCCGGGACAATTAGTCCAACATTAAATTTCACATCGTTTCTGTAAAACAACAAACTGAACGACGACGACAAACAAAAACAAAAAATCTTTCCGTAAAAGTTCACGAACGATACTTTCATCTGAATTGGTCTCAACACCAGCGTGTGATTACGTGAAATCAACGAAGCACGTCCAAAAAAAAAAAAGTACGAAAAGAAATTCAGAATTTTCTTCTTTTTTTTTGTGTTGCTGTACAGATTTTTTTACACACAGTGCCCCCTGCAGGTCAGTCCCTTCCATCGCAGCTCCTGAGGATTAAAACCAGCTCGCCGTCCCGTCGGTGGCCTCAGCCCCTCCTGATTGGCTGCGCGTCCGCAGCTCCGCCTCATTGTTTTTGTTCATTTTTAAACGCTCACGCCTCGGAGTAGTTGTGCGTCTGTCCGTTCATCTTGTCCTTCTTTAGCTTCACGCCGTCCACCAGCTCGAAGTTATAGTTCTCCAGGGCAGATAAGTTCCTGTCCGTCATGCTGCCCTGCGAGCAGGCGCAGTACAGGACCACGCCGCAGATGGCGCCCAGGAAGACGCCCAGAGCCGACATGGCGATGATGGTGATGAGGATGGGGTCCAGGGTCTTCAGCATGTTGCCCGGACCGCCGAGGTCCCCCGTTTCCTGAGAGAGGGAGTCCACGGCTGCAGGAAACAATAAATAAATAAATAAAATTCAAACAGTTAATTTGTTTTTTTAACAGACGTGAACCTCGTGACTGTAACATGTAGAAAACTCACGCAGCATGAAGATATCAGTGGGAGGAGTGGTCGGAGTTTCTGGATCTGGAGTAAAAAAAAAAACTTATTAAAACAGAGTCGAAACAAGTTAGCATGAAGTCCTGAAGTTTGAATTATAAGTCCATGATTTACTGATACAGCTGTTGTTATTGTTGTTGAGGTAAACAAGCAGTAAATAAAACTCACTCCTGCAGTCCTGAATGTTGAGTACGTCCACGATCTGGATGTTATCGACAGCGATGAGTCCTGTGCTGCGTCTGTCTGAGACGCCTTCGATCACCACCTGAGAAAAACAACAACATAGCTGAAAACTCAGATACAGAGCTAAAACCTTCAACACAGAGCTAAAATAACTAAACACAGAGCTAAAATCTTCAATACAGAGCTAAAATAACTAAATACAGAGCTAAAACCTTCAACACAGAGCTAAAATAACTAAATACAGAGCTAAAAACCCTCGAACACAGAGCTAAAATAACTAAATACAGAGCTAAAAACCCTCAAACACTGAGCTAAAAAACTCCATATACAAAACTAAAACCTTACAGAGCTAAANGCATAATCATTACGTAGGTTACATATGTATTCTTTGCCAGCATTAAAATTGATTAACTTCAATAATTATTCTTGCTCCCGATGCCGCTTCGTTTTCTTCTCTTCTCGGCCTTCACCTCGATTCTTCCTGTGGCCTCTTCCTGTCACGCTCCCTCCTCTGCTGGGGRTCAAGCGGGGGCTCTGCAGGTCTGATTCCAATTCTAGTGATGACTGGAGCGGTCGGGTCKCTTGACAGCACACCACTGTTCAGAACCAGTAGGTTCCACTAATCAGCTAATAATAGAACAAWTTTTTTGTTTAGCTGATTAGCTTTTTCACTAACTTTGAAGGAGACAAACGTGTTAAGCAGACAAAGTGACAGTCGTCTTAGAGGTTAGAATTAGCTGTTTAGTGTTAGCTTCTGTAAATTTCTTTTCATGATTAGCAGTTCGCAATGCTAACTCTTTGGCTAGCTGTTGTAATATTTTGTCTTGATTTACTTCTGTGGAAACTTTGAGCAGTTAAAATCTTAACTGTTGGTTGTTTTCATACAGAAGCAGCAGCAGCAGCAGCTAGCTGTAGCATTTTTGTTAGTTTTTTTTAATTTTGGTTGTTTAAGGTGGTAAAAACAGTTAATTTAATGTAATTTGGCTCTAATATTTCACTAAAATTACCAAACAGAAAACATTAATTCATGTTTTTTTTTGTCCAAACTGTGTTCGTTCTCATTTTTCTATATGAAAACAGAAAAATGAAGCTTTGATTTTTTGAATAAATGATTGAGATCAGTGATTGTTTACCCTGTTTAGAAATAAATTCACTGAGTTTTCCTCCTTTTATCCAGCAGGTTAAAAGGTAACATGTTTCCTGAAAGGATGCTGCAGCACTGGTGTCATTTTTTTCTTTCCTTTATAGAAAAAGGCTCAAATATATTACAACCTACAGTATGTACAATACGTTGGATGTGTCACGTGCCGTCAAAACGAGGCATCCAGGGCTCCTGCACCGGTTCCTTCTGAGGGGAAATGTCATCGTTTACTTCAGTCCTGCAAAACAAATAACCCAGTCGGCAAAGCGTGAGGGTCCGCGGTAGTAAACAAAACAAAACAAATATAAAAACGCACGTTTGTGATCACAGTTTGAACGTTGTTCCTCCTCCGCGGTGTCACGCCACCCGATGGGAGAACAACCAGCAGAAACAAACAAGGCAACGGAAAAACRAGAAAAAAAAGGCACTGTCGGAGCAGGTCAGGGCCTGCAGCAAGTACACACAGACACACACGCACGCACAGACACACACACCTTAGATGTAGAGGTTCATGAGTGTGACTCTTTCATCCGCCGGGACAATTAGTCCAACATTAAATTTCACATCGTTTCTGTAAAACAACAAACTGAACGACGACGACAAACAAAAACAAAAAATCTTTCCGTAAAAGTTCACGAACGATACTTTCATCTGAATTGGTCTCAACACCAGCGTGTGATTACGTGAAATCAACGAAGCACGTCCAAAAAAAAAAAAGTACGAAAAGAAATTCAGAATTTTCTTCTTTTTTTTTGTGTTGCTGTACAGATTTTTTTACACACAGTGCCCCCTGCAGGTCAGTCCCTTCCATCGCAGCTCCTGAGGATTAAAACCAGCTCGCCGTCCCGTCGGTGGCCTCAGCCCCTCCTGATTGGCTGCGCGTCCGCAGCTCCGCCTCATTGTTTTTGTTCATTTTTAAACGCTCACGCCTCGGAGTAGTTGTGCGTCTGTCCGTTCATCTTGTCCTTCTTTAGCTTCACGCCGTCCACCAGCTCGAAGTTATAGTTCTCCAGGGCAGATAAGTTCCTGTCCGTCATGCTGCCCTGCGAGCAGGCGCAGTACAGGACCACGCCGCAGATGGCGCCCAGGAAGACGCCCAGAGCCGACATGGCGATGATGGTGATGAGGATGGGGTCCAGGGTCTTCAGCATGTTGCCCGGACCGCCGAGGTCCCCCGTTTCCTGAGAGAGGGAGTCCACGGCTGCAGGAAACAATAAATAAATAAATAAAATTCAAACAGTTAATTTGTTTTTTTAACAGACGTGAACCTCGTGACTGTAACATGTAGAAAACTCACGCAGCATGAAGATATCAGTGGGAGGAGTGGTCGGAGTTTCTGGATCTGGAGTAAAAAAAAAAACTTATTAAAACAGAGTCGAAACAAGTTAGCATGAAGTCCTGAAGTTTGAATTATAAGTCCATGATTTACTGATACAGCTGTTGTTATTGTTGTTGAGGTAAACAAGCAGTAAATAAAACTCACTCCTGCAGTCCTGAATGTTGAGTACGTCCACGATCTGGATGTTATCGACAGCGATGAGTCCTGTGCTGCGTCTGTCTGAGACGCCTTCGATCACCACCTGAGAAAAACAACAACATAGCTGAAAACTCAGATACAGAGCTAAAACCTTCAACACAGAGCTAAAATAACTAAACACAGAGCTAAAATCTTCAATACAGAGCTAAAATAACTAAATACAGAGCTAAAACCTTCAACACAGAGCTAAAATAACTAAATACAGAGCTAAAAACCCTCGAACACAGAGCTAAAATAACTAAATACAGAGCTAAAAACCCTCAAACACTGAGCTAAAAAACTCCATATACAAAACTAAAACCTTACAGAGCTAAAAGCCCTCGAACAAAGATCTAAAACCCCTTAAATAAAAGAGCAAAAAACCCTTAAACACAGAGCTAAAAACCCTCAAACACAGAGGTAAAAACCCTTAAACACAGAGCTAAAAACCCTCAAACACAGAGGTAAAAACTCTTAAAGAGCTAAAAACCCTCAAACACAAAGAGCTAAAAAACCCTTAAACAAAGAGCTAAAAACCTTCAAACACAGAGCTAAAACACTTAAATAAATAGTTAAAACCCCTCAAATACAAAGAGCTAAAAACCCTTAAAGAGCTAAAAACCCTCAAACACAAAGAGCTAATAAACCTAACAGAAAGCAAAGAGATTGAAAATAGATAAAAATTGTGACTGAGTTAAAAACYCGATGCTTGATGCACCCAGTTGTGTGTTAAAGTATATTTTGAAGCAGTCTTTAAAATGTTTTAGAAAAAACTGAAACATTCTGGAGGCCATGAACTACTAATTATTATTATTATTAACACCCCAGATTAAACTTTAAACTTTGATAAACAGTCAAATGAAAGTTTAAATGAACCATAAATAAAATATCGAACTTWGAATCAAGAATTTAAGTGTTGAGAGCTGAAGACAGGAAAACATCAACTTCCTCCTTAACTTGATTAATTTACTTTATATTCATATTTAATTTAATTTATAAAGTATTTTACCTGGTAGGGGAGGCTGGAGCGTGGCAGCAGAACCCGACCCTCCCTCCACCGGTTGCCCTGATGGCCGCTGGCCATCCACAGTTGGTGTCCCTCCTCCGTCTCCTGCTGGTGTTTGATGTGCAGCGTCCCCACGTGCTCGCCGCTCATGTGGTACCAGAAGGACATGCACAGGTTGGCGTCGGGCGTGGTGATGGGGAGGCTGACCAGCCGGGCCACCTTCTCCTCATCATCTTTGTTGTCTCCGGTTTTCYTCGGTGTGTTGGGGTCAGTCAGCGCTGTGTAGATGAAGTTCCCCGGTCCGCCTGCAGGGGGCAGCAAGACACAACAAGTCAGGCTGAGCTGGAGTCAATAAATGAGACAATCTTTGCATTTTTTAGTAGAAAAAAGCTTCAATAGAAGTTTTATTGTGACAATAAAGGCCTCCTACAATCTCAAGGGTGTTCTGGACACAAAGAGTCTTTTCATATCTTGAATTCCAGCCTCAAACACCCCGAAGACATCAAGGACTTCACAAGGTCTTCAGAGAAAACAAAGAGCCGAGTATCAGCAGGCTTCAGAGGGAACGTCTGACCTGCCGCCACAAAGAGCTCATTTTTTACTTCTGATCTGGTTAAGTCAAGAAATCAAGGAGAAATGATTCATTTCAGAGCCGCTGCCGTCTCCCAGCAAATATCCATCAAAGCTGAGAGGTGAGGCGGCGCTGATGGATTCTTTCTGTTGACTTTTCTTTCAAAAACGCCTTTAAGGTCGTTTTCATCATTTTCACTCGATTCAACCAGATTCCTCCACTCACCGCTGAGTCCTGCATTTTAACACCACAACAGAGTCTGTCTGAGATCAAAATGTCTATAAATATATTGATGTATCAGTACAACAGTCTCTGTATGAGATCAATGGATAATATATACGTATATAATGTATAAATATACTGATGTATCAGGATCACCCACTGCCTTGGCGGGCGGGCGGGCGATCATGTGACCACCTGCAGGTTCATCGCTCCGCTCTTAAAACTTTACATATGATGAAAAACAAGAACAGAACAATCTGAACCAAGTTTAGTCTTTTGTTTTGACAGAAGCCCCGCCCCCAACAGGTACTGTACATACCTAATATCTATAGTTCCTGATTTGTAGCTGGTACTACCCATCAAGTACCACCCAGAATGTACTGTTTAGTATGTACATGGCACGCATTTACCAAGTACCAGGTATGTATCAAAAAAAGTACAAAGTATGTACCCAGCAGGTATTTACCAAAAAAAAAAATACAAAGTATGTACCCAGCAGGTATTTACCAAAAAAAAAAATACAAAGTATGTACCCAGCAGGTATTTACCAAAAAAGTACAAATTATGTACCCAGCAGGTATTTACCAAAAAAGTACAAAGTATGTACCCAGCAGGTATTTGCCAAAAAAGTACAAAGTATGTACCCAGCAGGTATTTACCAAAAAAAATACAAAGTATGTACCCAGCAGGTATTTACCAATAAAGTACAAATTATGTACCCAGCAGGTATTTACCAATAAAGTACAAATTATGTACCCAGCAGGTATTTACCAAAAAAGTACACAGTATGTATCCATCAGGTATGTACCAAAAAAGCACAAAGTATGTACCCAGCAGATATGTACAAAAAAAGTACAAAGTATATACCCAACAAGTACCTGGTACACACCAAACAAGTACAAAGTACATATCCATAAAGTATCCGGTATGTACCCATATGTATACAACCAGTACCAAGTACCAGATACATAACTGGCAAGTACAAAACACCTACATGGAAAGTACAATATACTATACTAACACCTACATATACAAGTACAATGTACCTGGAAAATACCTGGTATGTACCCTACAAGTACAAAGAACGTACTCGGAAAGTACAAGGTACATATCTGGCAAGTACAAAGTACAATGATTGTACCAGGCATATACCAGGTATGTATCCAGAAAGTATAAGACAGGTATCCGACAAGTACAAAGACTTGCCTGGCAAGTACAAAGTATGTATCATGAAAATATCAGGGTACGTACACACACACACACAAACAAACAAACAAACTGATGTATGCCTAGTAAGTACCAGGTTTGTACCAGGTTTGTACCACTTACATACTTGGTAAGTGCCAAACTAGTCCTCAGCACATACCCGGTACCTACCGAGCATTCACCCAGCTCATACCTGGTAGATACCTGGTAAGTACGCAGTACTACTAGGCAGTATTTTGTTCATTATGTGTAGTTTCACCTGTGTGGTCCAGGATCGGTACCCTGTGGACCCCGGGGGTCTCACTGGTCTGGATGAACCACTCGGCTCCCGAACCGGTCTCTTTGGTCCAGCCGCAGAACGAGGAGAAGTCGAAGTTACAGGCGAACCACAGGTACGCTGCAGGTGAGAGGGGAGGGGCCAGAGCTGTCGTTATAAACAAGGAAACAAACAGATTCTGGAACACAGATCCTCTTTGTGGAGCCAAGGAAAAACCACCTTCAGGGTCTCATTATCCTTCGGATAAATCCCAGGTGTTTTACTAACCAAGCCCCGCCCCCTCCCCGCTGCAGTAAAACCATCCAGGGAGCCGAATCAAGCGGTACCAGAACCTCTGTTCCGAGCCAGACATCATTTATTTCTTTATAAAATCTGGTTTCGTGCAGTTTTACTGACTAATCTGCTTCACGCAGACAGAAGAGGAAATAAAAACACTCAACAGTTTGTTGCCAAACTATTAGAAACTCTCACAGTTTTACTCTATAAAAGCTCTGGAAGGCCCTCTTTAAAACACAGAATAAAACAGCATGTTGCGCTTTTATTTTGAAGGCATTGTCAGACGAAAGTCTGACAATGCCTTCAAAATAAAAGCGCAACATGTGCCGTCTTGTCTTCTTCTTAGGATTTCTGTCCAAGTAGCCAAAATTAAATTTCTTAAATTTATTTTAGAAATAGTTTTTTTTCCCAGGTTATTTTGTCCTCCGTGGTTACTCGTTTTAATCCAGGACTCTTTGACGAGTCAGATCAGACAGAAGATGATTTTAACCTGAAACGTTTGGCTCTAAGAAACTTTATTTCACCCAAGATTTCTTCAAGAAAACAACCGTGGCYGTCTGAACCGTTTTATTTTCCCCGACAGATAAAAACTTCGGCTCATATGGGTTTGATTTAAATCAGGACGAAGCTGAAAAACAAAAATAAACTAAAAAAGGAAACTAAAATCTCTCTATCTTAGTTGTGTTTTCAAACAGAAGCACAAACCTTTTTTTTAAACCTTTACAGGGTGGATATATTACTATATATTTTTTKATTTTTAGAGGCTAATAAGATGCAGAGATGACTTCAGAGCTGCACGGTTCAACCTCAAACTGTCTGTGCGACGCTTCAGCTCAGCTAATTGAGACCCAGGAGGTTTTTTTTTTTACTCTTTCGCACAGTCCTCATTTTTTTTAAAAACATTTCCCTTTACCTGGACTCTTCCTTCCTGTTTTAGCCTCTTCATCTTTTCACCGTCCGAATTCCTCGCTCGTTTCTTTAYCTCGCTGTCCTGACTGACATGTTGACCTTTTTGCTCCACTTTAGCTCAGCTGGGATGTTTACAGGTTCAACTTTATGAATTTACAAAATAAAAGCGTTGCTTTTRTTTTGCTTTTACTGTGGATAAATTATCTGCTGCTGGTTTCATCCAGGAAGTCTGAAAACGCCTAAATATCCTCAACTTCAGAACGTTTAGGATGTTTCCTTTAAGGAAGTCTACTGGTGGTGGGGTGTGGGGGGGTGTAGGGGGCGGGGTCTGTCCTCACCTGGGATGTCCATGTTGGGGTTGGCGGTGATGACGTCTCCTGTTACAGACAGATGGGACAGTCAGGGTTGRGGTCAAAGGTCAAATAAGCTCCTCCCACTCACAAAGACAAACTCAGAACCAGGTTTTACTTTTTTTCACTTAAAAAAAATCTATGGTAGGAATACTGTACATATTACAGCTCAGTATCCTAGTACTGATATGTAAGTAATACTTAGCTGGTACTTCATTTGCACTTAATACCAACCTGTACTTATTTGGTAAGAACTTGGTACAAACAAGGTATCCGTACAGGTATCAAATACTTAACTCTTACCTGGTAMTTGYATCAGATWCATACTTATTACTTATCCAGTATGTACCAAGTATGTACTGGGTACTTTGTACTGAGTACACAGGTACAGATAACCCACAACTAATCATGTTAAGTACCTGGAACATTCCAGGTTTGTACCAGGTCCTTAACTGTACGCAATATTTACCTGGTACTTACAGGGTACGTATCCACCCGGTATGGTTGTACCTTGTACTTATATAGTACTTACATGATTGGTACATACCTAATATGTATTTGTTATGTACCTAAAACTTAATTAGGAATTACGTGGTACATAAGTACATACCAGGTACTTAGTTTTACCTAATATTTACCTGGTAAGTACATGGTACTTATCCACCAGGTATGTTTGTATCTTGTACTTATTTAGTACTTACATGGTAGGTACATATTTAATATGTACTTGGTATGCACCTAATACTTAGATGGTGATTACTTAATACAAATCAAGTAAATACCAGGTACTTATTTTTACCTAATATTTACCTGGTACGTGCCTGGTATGTCCTAAGTAGTACACACAGTTCATGTAGAATGTAGTACCTAGTACATACCAGGAAGTAAATATAGAGTACATCAATACAGGTTAAGTATCAGGTACTACCTGTAACTATACCTGACCTAGTTAGTACTGGGAATGTACTGTACATACCAGATACTTATCTGTACCTAATATTTACCTGGTATGTACCGGTTTGTATTATGTATTACTACCAAACACACGTTTTTTTTTAAGATATATATATATATTTTTAACATCATTTTCTGGTCCAAGTTTATTTTTTAGTATTATTTTCACATCGTTAAATCAATAAAAACAGAATTTAAAGGAGGAAAGAAGCAAATAAACTTTAAGATGTATTTAATTTTTGGTATTTTTCTTTCATTTACCGATCACATAGTCGGGCGTCTCCGTCTCTTCGGTGCAGTGCTGCCCGCCGTCCTCGCAGTCTGCAGCCGGAGTCGTGCTCGGGATGGTGGGCGGCGCCGCCGTGGTCGCCCCGAACGTGGTGACGGGCAGCGTGGAGGCCAGCGGGGTGGTGGGGGGCGCCGTGGTGCTTATCTCTGGAAACAAAACGGGTTTTGATTTTAGAGCTAAAACAACACGAAGAGATGAATTATAACCAGCGGTGGGCATTATTCCGCTAATCAGCTAACGGCTAATACCGAACTCATTTTTTTGTTTAGCAGATTAGCTTTTTCACTAGTGGACCAATTAGTTTCCGCTAAATTAGGTTTTGTCACATCTAAGTACGCTAACAGCTAAATATAAACTGGTTTGTGTCAGTCATTTTAGCGGTTAGCKATTAGCTATGTGTTARCTTCTGCTCATTGTTTWCCACAGTTTTAGCGGTTTAGCTTTAGCAAAGCAGATTGTTTATCTGTGCCCACCACTGCCCACCTGTGACATYGAATCAGGTCGATTGTTCCGGTTGTTGAACAGAACCCAGAAAAACTAAAGTATTTACAGGATTTATTCAGTCGCTGCCTGATAAAAAAAAAAATCTGGTTTGACTTTCCTGGGGGACATTTGCGGCGCAGAACAAACAAACTCTTACATCCAGTTAAATCCTGATACAAAGTCAACAGTTTTATGCAAATAAAAAAATCTGCTGAATTTGAAAAAAACCAAACAAAAACAAACAAACAAATCCCAGCTGGTTTGTATTTAATTAAAGTGCGTTTGTGACATTTTGAGTGGGATGGAGGTTTGTTCTCTCAGCAGCCAGGATTGTCAGAACCAAGCAGGTGATTTAAACTCCGAGCAGCAGAACAACAACAAACCATGAAGCTCGTTAAGTTTCYCTGGGAAAGATATTTATACGTTTGTGTAAAAACAGGGAGAAACTCGTTAACAAGTGTTACAATAMACACAAGAGTCTCAGGGTTTTTAAATAAAATAACTGTGGAATGATCTTAGATCTTATATTTAAGGGTTTTGTTGAGAGAAATTAAAGAATATTTTTAATTCAAAAGCACAAATTTGACCTTTTTTTGGCCTTATTAACTCATTAGATCCAAGTTTTAGTATTTATGTGTGATATTAAGCAGTTTATGCAGATGTCTAACAGATGAAAAATGTCCTCCATATTTGAAATGTTTGACCACATCAGCTTTAACTCACTTTTCCACAAAGAAATTTGGGATTAAAAGTGGCCTTCAAGGAACTGCTGGGCCTTTAATCTGCGATCACTTCCTGCAGCTTGTTTCTGTTCATTCATAGCATCTTTGTTGCTTCTGTTTTTCTCGTTGAAGATGTTTCTTTTCCATCTGAGAGGCTTCCTCAGTTCAGACTGGAAGAGATGCTCGTCTAATAAACTTAAGTTTTACATGTTAGTTCCAATGGACTGTGTGTGTTTTTAAAACTAATTGGAGTTTTTGATCTAATTTGGTTTTAATGTTCCCTGTGTCGGGCCTGATGAGAGGAAGTTGTGTTACTTTTTGTACGTTTGGAGGAATCTGTCGACAGGTGCTGCTTTTGTCTGGGGCTGACGGTTGTTTTCCTCCTCTGTGCTGCAGCTCACCTGTCGCCTCCGAACAAAGAGATGTGAAAAGCTGCTGGGAGATTTTGATGTTTTCTGAAGATTAAATAGAATTAAAGAGTGTTCGGATCCAAGATGGCCGACTTCTGCTCACATTAAAAAAAAAAAAAAAAGAATCTCACGGTTTGACTGATTCTTATCTTTCTCTCTGCAGGGCAACCAGATACTCCGGAGGAGCTCACTTCCTCCCTTCATCTGTTCCTGCCTCACCTCCTGTGAGAGGTCACGCCCTCCCTCCTTCCCTCCTTCCCTCCCTCCTTCCCTCCCTCAGCAGCACAGAAACAAACGGGCCATGACTCGCCCCACATTTTAATCTTTTTACTGCCCCTTCAAAGTCAGCAGACCAGAGTTACAAACAAAACCATGCAAAAACATCCATAATGAATATTAAATACAGTATCTACATTAAGCCTGTTTAATTCACACACACACACAGACACACAGACACACAGACACACAGACACACACACACACAGACACACACTTACCGTCTAGTTCACAGCCCAGCAGCTCCAGACGGAGGCCCACGCCCTCGTTGGTCGCTCTCTCTGGGTAAATCCTGACAAACCGGGTCAGAAGTGGACCGACTGATCTCAGCTCTGGGGTTTCGTGGTTCTGATTCCCCATAAATACCTAAAGACACAAAAACAAAATTTTAATTGACATCAAGTAAAGCAGTTAAACATCAGAATCACACAAATATTTTTGCAGTTTATATGTCTCAATTTAGGCCGTAACAAAAAATAAATAAATAAATAAAATAAAATAAAATAAATAAAAAAACTCCTGAACCGTGATTAGCCAAAGGGTCTGATTATCGGTCAGTTTTTATGTTTCTCACACGTTAGCATTTTGCAACTTTTAGCTTTCAGCTAGATTTTTCTTCATTTTAGCATTCAGCTGGACTTTTCTAGAGTTTAGCTTTACCTAGCATTTCATTACCTTTAACTAGTGTTTGCTACTTTCAGATAGCAGTTTGCTATGTTAAAGTTTTAGCTAGTATATTGCTACTTTCAACTTTTAGTTAGCATTTAGGTACTTTTAGGTTTCAGGTCACTTTTCACTATTTTGAGCATCTAGCTAGCCTTGCAACATTTAGCTACATTTAACTTTAAGCTGTTTAAAAAGGGGGACCGGAGGGTGTGCTCCAATTACAGGGGGGTCACACTCTTAAGCCTCCCTGGTAAGGTC